TCATGAATAAAATTATAAATTATCAAAGAACTGTTACCCTGAAATTTATTTTAAAATAAAACATTGAACTTATAAAATAAATCAATTTAGTGTGTTGTAAATTAACTATATTTTATTTAGAAAAATATTATATTATATTAATTTTAAGAAACGAGGGCAGTTTTTTCAAGCTGCAATGGTCCATAAAACAAAGACAAGTGTAAATAACAAAATGAATTTATTACCAAAAGTTAGGTACAAATATGGTTACTTTTCAACATAATCACCCTGAAGATTGAGGCATTTGTCATATCTGTGGATGAGCTTTTCCATCCCCTTGTCATAGAATTAAATGGGCCCTAACGTTGTTTTGAAGATCTTCATTAGTCTTAAACCTCTGCCCTGCTAGCCACGTTTTCAGTTCAGGAAAGAGGTGGAAGTCTTCACACATTAAAAAGTTCCAAGCTGGATGGAACTTTTTAATGTGTGAAAGGTGAAGTCTGAAAGGTGAAAGTCTTCACCACCTTTAAACACACAGCGTATAGCTCCGATTTAGCACCGCGCAACTTCCACCTTTTTCCTGAACAGAAAAAGTGGCTAGAAGGGCAGAGGTTCAAGACTAATGACGATCTTCAAAAAAACATTAGGCCTTATCTCAAGTCATTGGCAGCAACATTCTATGACAAGGGGATGAAAAAGCTCATCCACAGATATGACAAATACCTCAATCTTCACAGTGATTATGTCGAAAAGTAACCATATTTGTACTTAAGTTTTGATAACAAATTCACTTTGTTATTTACACTTGTCTTTGTTTTATGGACCATCAGAACTTGAAAAAAAAAACAGCCTACATATATTCTCAGTATTTTTTAACTTAATTATAAAAATTATTTTTATAAAGTTTATATATATATTTTTATTACATTGCTTAAAATATGATGTCAAAAACGAAAAGGAAATATTTTTTTTTTGTATTAAATAAAACTGAAATAAAACTACCATAACAAACATGTAATAATTTTACAATTAAAAGTATCTTTTTTCTGGTTAATTATCTTTATATCATCGTGTCGCATTGATTGGAGCAATGCATGACCAGCTCTTGTACAGTATTGGATACCCTATATCACATGACGTAAAAAGTTTCAATAGTAGTAATATGAAGCTAAGCCTCTGTTTTCTGCTTATAAAACTGTTAATTATTTTTTTATTACTTTCATTTTTACCATCACAATAGTATATTTCATAAATTGAAGGTAAATTAAAAAAGAAAGCCCACATAACAATAAGTGTTTCAACAGAAATAAGAAAATCTTAAATTTTTAATCACATATGATTACTAATTATCAAAAAATTAATCATCATACATAATTATGATTAATTAAATGATTAATTTTTTAGCAATAAATAAAAATTTAAAATTATTTGAAATAAAATATTAATTTCTATAAAATGTAATTCTTGAAAATCTTTATTTCATGAGCTAAATTTAGTATTTTAAAATTTTATATGTGCAAAGTAAGCTGGGCATTTGCATTGAACAGATTAAATGATTTTTATTTTTTGAAATTATAACAATTGAAAAAGTAATAGTAATTCAGTTTTTATGGATGCCTGAATTATTATTAATTGAAACAAATTTTAGATATGGTTTATTTCTGAATGATTACAAGAATGAATTTCTAATCAATAATAATAATCAAGAAAAACTATGTATGTATATAATATATGCAGTTATTACATGTTAGATATCAATATTTTAAATTATAAATAATAAAAATGTTAGTTCATATGTATAAAGTAAATTTGCTAACTAAAAGGGAGGGAAAAAATTTGAATTTAATAATATTCCTGTTCTGTAATTTGAAAAAAAAGAATGTTGGTTTTCTACATTTTATAGTGTCAAACTTTGGGAATAATTGCTAACTGAATGTATGATTTACTTGTCAAAAACAATTGTTACACTGAAATGTTTACATGTAATTAATTTTAAGTTGTTTGTACATTTCTGAACTTAATTTCATCAGTAATGATAACATATATAATCTGTTATAACTTTTTTTAATTAAAATAATATGTTCAACTTTATAATACTTTATATTTATTCAATAACTTGTACATTATTAACACTGAAAACAAATCTATAAATTATAATAGTCATTTTTATAGAAACTTTAAAACATATTTCTTTCTTTTCCACAAGTAACATAAAGGAAAATCTTGCTTGTCCACTTTATTTATGCTATTGTTCAAGACTAATATATCCCATATCCCTAGCAAATCATCTTTAAGTAAAGAATTTTGTATTTCCTAGGCAATATGATATAGAAAAAAACAAATTGGATATGTATATTTTATAAAATAAAACTAGCAATGGTTTAAACAGCTTAAGACAAGGCAAAGTTTCATAGGGAATTATGCTAAATGGAAAAACAACAATTATTAAAAACAATGACTTTCAAGTAATGTATTTTACTATAAGTGAAATGTAAAATGAATCTATAAAATGAAATGTATTTGCTTGGTCTTCCCTCACAAGATGCATCTTCAAGAGACTCATTACCCAATGCAAATTTTCTGTATCACTTTTGGACCATGCATTCATTCACTGTGTTCTTTCCAAATGCTCTACACATCTTTCAGGCTGCATGTGTTATGTTAGTGTTCACTTTAAACTCATTGAGTGACCACTCCCAAACAATAAACATTGTTTGGGAATGGTAATTACTTGTTCTCGTAGAACATTTCCAAGTGTAGGCCATCAAAAACAGCTTAAACTTGTTAATAACAAAAGCATTATGTTTGTTCAGGACAACACACAACCTCACACAGCATGAATGACCCAAGACAAGCTCCATAGCCTTGGCTGGAAAATTCTATCCCACCCTCCATATTCATCAGACATATCATCATCAAACTTTGGTGCTGGAAAATCATATATGCAACTGACAGTTTAGAAACCAAGCAGTTCTGAAAATGGAGTTGAAGGATTTCATTGCTTCTAAAGATTGTAAATACCACTCTGAAAAAAGTCTCAATCTTTTATCTCATTGGGAAAAGTTTATAGATTGTGATGGTGCTTACTTTACTGAAAACAAATATTTTCATTCACTTTTTACATGCATTTTAATTTTAATCTCAAAAACCACATGAACTTTCTGGTCACCTGATATAAATAGAGTATATCACACACACGCTATATATATTATTAGTAATAAAAGCAACACCTTACACACAATTTTCCAGCACAGAGAGTTTGTATAAGAAACGTTTTCAACAAAAGTTTTGCATATATTATTATAATGCTGAACAAATACAGTGGGTGATCAGTTAACAAATAGTTCAGACTGCAAACAAATCGAACAGCGAACACTTCCACAAAAGATTTTTATGTTCAGACAACAAACACAGTTTGGATAATGAACACCTGACAGATCAAACACAAGAATAAGCAACACTGCATTTAACATTTGTAAAACTATATTTTAATGGCATCTATACATGGTTTGTGGAATGGAACTTTCACAGTTGTATATATAACCTTTTTTTGCACTAGTTAATTTCTGTTCTCCAAGTTTTTGTAAATGCTTTTCTGAACTTCTTATTTAAAAAACTGATATTATTATGGGGCCTAAATAGAGTGGAGTGTCAAGAACTGTGTTCACTATAGAAACTAAGCAAGGTAGAGAGTGGACAAAAGATGTCTGATATTGTAGGCAGGTGACTTCAACAGGTCTACAGTAGGCACAATCTTAGCTAAGAAAGATATAATCAAAAAGACTTAAGCAGCTAAAGGAGTAATGAAAATTGCATCTGAGAAACAAAGATGTGCCATCCATGAAAAAATAGCGAGATTGCTTTTAGTTTATTATTACATGTTTATTTACATGTAACATAAATAAACAACATAAACAAACAGTAAGAAAGTATATAATTTTTTATTTATTTTTTGGGGTCTTCAGAATGAATTAATCAAATTCCCACAAAAATCATGGTAAATTGATAATCAGTTAACGAACAATTCGGATAACAAATATGGTCTTGGAATGGATTATGTTCATTAACCGATCACCCACTGTATTAATTAGAGAATATTGAAGTATTCAGCAATTATCTATTATTTTTAATAATCACAATAAAATATTAAATTACCCATTTATTTCATTTTCTTTGTAATTCAAAATGTATTTAAGATAAACAATTCCCTTCTAATGTTAAAAATGTTGATGTTGAATTATGTATTTGAATATGAAACTTTCATAGAAGATTTGAATTTTTGCTTTAGATCAAGATAAATTTTTGGTATAAAAATTTGGTATAAAAATAAATACTCCTGAAGAACTTCATTAAAACTTATTCATATAAATACATTTTTTTTTTTGCATTTTAACCGTATTACTTAATATCATCATTTATGATAATATTTATAACAGCATCTTGGAAAATATCTATAATATAGTGATAGACAGCATGCTAATCATTTGTTGCAAAAACTTTTACCATATAAGCATTAAATTATATACATATGTCACTAAATTGACGAGTACTTTTGACGATACACACTTTCGTCTTCTTCAGGTCATAGAAGATATAAGATCCTTTTTTGAATACAAAATTTAAAACATTCCAATCTTAATTAACATTTTGGAATAACAGCAATGGTAGAATATAAGAAGATATTTAAATAAAAACACACGCATTTATACTGTGCATGCGTTAGATGCCTCTATATTTGTATTCAAAAAAAGATCTTATATCTTCTATGACCTGAAGAATAATGACCTGAAGAAGATGAAAGTGTGTATCGTCAAAAGCGCTCATCAATTTAGTGACATACGTATATAATTTAACATTTATAACAGCATTTATTTTTTACGTAAATTAAAATCTTTCAGTAATTTTTGATGCTTCAACCTATTTTTAAGTAAAATTTATTATTAAATTTGTTAGTTTTACTTATATAACAATAGATTCCAATATAGATTAGAAAAACAGAAATTAATAATAGACAGACATACCCCAGAATACCCGGGATGAAGAAGGATGGTGATTATATTGTTGACCAGGAGGAGGAAAATCTTCCTTCTCTTTATTTTCTGATAGCATTAAGAAATATTATAATTCAATATTATTTCCCTACCGTATATATAATATAATCTTTTAAAATTAATATTATATTAGAAATTAGAAAATACCAAAGAGGATTGTTATATTTTAAAAATAAAAATTAAAGTAATAATGAATTTCCTATTACAAATGAGTATTTAGCTTGTCAATATAAAAATCAAGTCATTTATTCAATTTAAAATATTTTAAAATGTTCTTTTGTCATCATCTGCATTAACAATTTAAATAATATACATCTCCATAAAAGCCTTCAAAAAAACTTTTAAGAAACATTTTTTATGACATTGTATTATTATTTATTAACACGACATAGAATTAATATTGGAAACGTTGTTCTGTTAAATTTTTGTATATACAGTACATTATAAGTTATTAGATAGAACAACTATAATACTCATGTTACATTATTAAATGTATATTTTATTAGAAAAATTTTTTATATATTTATTTCTATCTTTTTTATTTAGGATGTCACATTAAATGCTACTTAAATAATATAAAATAAAACATTTTTCCTTCATTCAATTTCAACATAAAGAATTGCTTCCATGAAACAATGTAAATTTGATATATAAAAAATCTGGTAAATGGAAAATACATTGTAGTAAATATTAAAAGGATATGTTTAATTTTCAACATTCTATAGAAAAATTCATTGTAAGGACTTTGCAATACGGAAGTCCAATTGTAATATCAAATTAAATTATTGAGCTTTTTCATGTAATTATTCTGAGATAACAAATAAAGAGGGCTTATTATTTGCATATTTAAGTTTATAAGATATTAAATAAACAATGTTTATTGTTTGGAAGTGGTAATTACTTCTTCTCCTAGAACATTTCCAAATGTAAAGTCAAAGAATAAATTAATAAAAAAAAAACATAAGATAGATTAAATTATTTCAGATTGATTTCAGACCAGCAAAGTGTCACAGTTCAGATATGAAATTCATGGTACTGGTGTAAATGTCATGGTCTCACATTCTTGTCTTTGAATAGTGATATTCCTTTAGCCCAAAAAACTAGTGGTGCATCTTTTAATTTGTTCTTTTATTTTATTCTATTTTAATTTTATTATGTCTTATAAAACCTAGTCAGATACAGCTCATTTCAGAAACCTTGGCTGGAGCTTAAATGTAATCAAACATTTAAAGCCTATATATCTCTACAATTTAAAAAACAGTTTTTAATTTATTCTTTTTCTGAAGATNAAAATGGAGATACCAAATTGTTTATTGTTAGATATAATTGATAGACATTATCTATTGTTACATTAATAACAAACTAAATTAAGTGTCTATTGTTATGTAAATTGTGTAAGTGAAAATGGAAATTTTTTTAAATTTGTACATTAGTGGCTAGTTTAGTTGCATTCAGCCACCGTCAGAAATTTCTGTGATTACTAAAATGGATTTTACAAAAATCTATTTTATTCTCAAAGATAAGGTATAAAAATTAATTTTAATAAGAAAAAACACATACAGTGGAACCTCGGTATACGATCTTAATCCGTTCCTGATGTTTGGACTTATACCAAATAGGACGTATACCAAACCAATCTTTCCCATTAAAAGTAATGTAAAAGTGATTAATCCATTCTCAATGTCAGCAATGGTTATAACTGCTAAAGTATGCAACATTTTGTCACACTGTCTTGTAAATGTAAAGAATTAACATAGGCGTATAAAAAAAAACCAAACACATTTGCCTGATTAAATAAATTTTTTGTGATATGCTAGAAAGAAGGTGTAGATTTATTAATAAGTGAAAACATCCAGTCATTTCTAAGTAAGAATTGCCAAAGTTTCAAAAGGGAAAAAAAAGTTATTTTTACCAATGCATATGAAACTAATTAAGGAAATCTTTATTTCTGAATAAAATCAATAGTCATAATTGGAATTGTCCAACATGTATAAGATTTTGCTCACATATTCTGTCTACCATCTATATTCTTTACAGCTCAGAATTCAGGGACACAAAAGAGATATTAGAAATAAATATATTACAACTATTAAAATTGGTTTAAAAATAAAACAAAAAACAAAACTTTCTTTTTCTTCTTGAATTTTATCCTTATTTATAAACAGACCATTATTCTCACTAGCAAGCTTGACAAAATGTTATAGTTACAGTAATATCTATCAGTTGCAATCATTGCTGATATACAAGATTTTATTTTATTTATATTATTAATTGTTTTATATTAAAACTAAAAATTACTATTATTTACTTATTTTTAAAAATTGCATATTTTTAAAATTACTATTCATTTCAAATGCATATTTTTACTTATAACTTTTTTATTTTGATATAGTTTTTCTTTAAAAACTGTATAAATTTTTTTCCTTGTTCAAAATCTATTACTATCTTCAAATTTCTAACTGGACAAAGTTTCTCACATAAATGAAAAGACTTGTGCATTATTCTATCAACTTCAATTTATTGTGACTTTAAATGTTTGGTTTTTTAGTTCACTTATATTTTAAATGTATGGTTTTACTAGAGACTTGCACCATAAAATAAAAATCCTTAAATAAAAAAACCAAAGTAAGTTCTGCTTCTAAATGGTTACATAATAATTATATGATTTGATCCTTCATTATAGTTCATGTAGTTTAATAATTTAAAGTAAGGTTCTTCAATCATTTTTTGTGCAAGCCAAATATGATTCATAACAAAATATATTTTGAGTTTCTGTATAAGATAGTGTGATGTTCATTAATTAATATTAAATGCATCTTTATAAACATTTTCATAAAATTAAGATCAGTTTCTCTGTAATTATTATATTAATTTAATTGATGTTTTCAAAGTAGCTTATCATCATCTGTAGAATATAATAGATTCATAAATTCTAGAACATTGCTAAAGATCAAAATGTTTTCAAACATTCATTCTAATATCTCAACTATATAAAAATAAGAATGGTTGAGACTTCTGAAAAGAAATGATAGCCACTTTATAGTAGGAAATGACACTAAAGATCACAATACCAAAACACTATTAAACATTCAAGAAGTCACTTTATTAATATGATTAAATGTTCTTAGAGACAGTTCATGTCTCATCTTCAGATTCATATACAAATCACATTTGAAAAACAAATACAATGTCAGATACATATTAAATAGAAAATACATTTAAATGACATTATACTAAAACTAATATAATACATGTTAATGGGATAATTATGTTTATTAGTGTTTTGGTCTTGTGATGATGAGAGACATTAACTGTTCAAAGAATTTATTTATTTATTAGAAAATCCACATATTTGAAATATAAAGAACATGTTATAAACTTTACAATAAAAAAATAAGATTCATAAAAAAAAAATTAAGTTAAAACCAGGGCTGTGGAGTTGGAGTCATGGGGTTTTGGTGTTTTAGCCGTGTGGGGGGGCATAATTTAGTTCAACTACTTTGAAGCTTAATAACTTCTGTGTTAAACCATCCGACTCCAATTCAAAAACCACAGAAGTTATTAAGCTTCAAATAGAGTGAACAAAATTGTGCCATACACACACATTCTAATATCCATACATACATTAAAAAAAAATATCTGAATTTTTTGCATATCTGGACATTTCAAGGTGTCCTGAGTCCAAAAATGTAAAAATTTGGGGGTGATCATTTTTGACCAATCACTACACTTTCCCTCTATTATATATAACAACTGAAAAAGTAAAAATTATTGAATACATATTTATATATTGACTGTGTCATTACTTAGAGGAGTCTTTTAGCTTTGGAAATAAAAATGTTCTTACATTCTATCTTTATTAGAACTCTATTTATTAAAGCTTTTATTCTGAGATCATGTGATGATATCAGAATTCCAGGGCCTATTTGGGTAACAAGTCTGCTCCTGGTTGGAGTCAGATGGTAAGGCAAAGTTGAAGTCAGAGTCGGTAGATTTTTAAACAACTCCACAGCCTTGATTAAAACTTATATTAGTTATAAATTTCAGTAGAATTATATAAAAGTTCATTATAACTAAATTTGTAATAGAATTTTTAATGAAAGTNACTGTACATTTTCTCTGTCTAATAACAATATATACAGTATTTTTATGTAATATAAAAACTATAAGGAATCATACACAGTTATTTTTCAACTTATGTTTATAACTATTATTGAAAATTTTTAATTCTATTAACATAAAGAAAAAAAAATTGTTATGCAATCTGGCAGACAAATTCATTAATTCAAGATACTGTTTCATTTCATATTTAAAATTTTTATTAAGAATATAATATCACGTATTGAATTTATTCTTTCTAGATTAAAAAAAAAATTAAACTAAACTAGAAGACTATCAAAACATAGTCAATTCTTGTATCTCTTAATCATGTAGAATTAATAGACTCATATTGATAAATACTGTAAAGTATCAAATATTGACAGTTCAAATCTGTGATAGAAATGAAAAAATGACAAATTATTTTAGTTAATGAAAAATCATTATTATAATAATTGTTTATTAAACAATTAAAGCAGGCATTACAGAAAGAGAAAATGTTGCTGTGATAAAATTTACAGAAAGACTTTTGGTGTAATAAAATTAAAAACTAACAATAATCATAATAAAATTAAAGAAACAAAGATTAAAAAAGTTTAAATGAATCTGTTACAAAGTACTGAATTACACATATGCTTCTGCTGGAAATATGCTTGTTAGATTATCTAAATTCATATGATCCTTGAACATATAAAAGACATTAATTAGATCTTGATTGCAGAGTGGATAAATTTTATATTTTTGTGGAATGACCAGCATGCTGATCTATCCGGGGAAAACTGAAATCAGATATTTCCATATGATAATAACTAGAGTGCCTGTTTAAGTGAGGTTATACATCACTCTCTAGAGGGTGCATTAAAAAAAAAAAAAAAAAAAAAAAAAAAAAGAGTGAATTACGTCACGTAAAAATGAATGAGTTTTTATTCTAAAACTGTGAAACTGTCAGCATTACATCAAAAACTATGATTACTGTTTTATTTCTTCATTTTTTGTTCTTTCTAATGATGTAAATACTCTTGGAATTCCAAAAGTGCTTTTTTTGTGTACTATATTATACTCAGAAGAATGTTTTTTCAACATTTGTTTAACAACTATTTTTGTAACATCTGATTAATTTTATTTTTTAATCACAGTTTAACTGGCATGCCAGTATTCCCAGAGTTTCTGGCTTGCTGGTTGCCCCTGTTTATATGTGGCATGCCTGTCATTCTGTGAAAATACGGTATCTTGATTCAGAAGAGATTTAGATAACATAATTGAAAAGGAATTAAGAAAGCATTAATATAAAAACTAGTGTTTTCAATACAATCAAAATTTATCAATTACATAATTTAAGTAAATCCTTGTTCTTGCTGCTGCATATAAAATTATATTAGCTTATTTTATGTAAAAAATAATGTATATATTAATTCAACTACAATTTTAAATAAGAGCATTGGATATAATTGAAGTTTATATTTTCTTTCCTGAGAATACTTTTTCTAAAGACAAAATTCAATAAGGACAAAGTTCCTATTACTTTGCAAAGTAAGATTAAATTTCAGAAATTTTTGATAAAGCCATATTTAAGGTATTTTTGAAATTGTGCACTTATTTATCATGAATCAAATATATTATATATGGTCTATTAATCTTGCAGGTAAAAAGTTGGCAACTTGGAAGTACACAATATCAAAACAAGAAAATACCTTATTAATAGCAATATTTATAAAGCTTTATCATCATCTTGATAACTGCTGAAAATTTGTAATATTTTTTTTAATTTTATTAACCTTATTTATTAATTAATGTGATGTTTTGCATTTATAATTTATTTTATTAGAATTTTTTTTATGTCAAACATAAAAAAAAAATTCTTGAGTTTCTGTAGAAATCATTCTGTTTTCAATGTGTAAGATTATGATGATAATTAGCATAGCAGAAAATGTTTATTTGGATGAAAATATAATTCTATTGAATTTTAAAGATATTTTGAAACTTTACAATATTAAATAAATTTCAGTTTAAGAATATCAGGTAAATTCACAACTCTTAATCTAATGTAGTTATTTATATTAGTAACACATATTCTAAATGATGAAACCACAACAATAGGAATTATATATTAGAAGTTGTACTGTACATTTTCTCTGTCTAATAACAATATATACAGTATTTTTATGTAATATAAAAACTATAAGGAATCATACACAGTTATTTTTCAACTTATGTTTATAACTATTATTGAAAATTTTTAATTCTATTAACATAAAGAAAAAAAAATTGTTATGCAATCTGGCAGACAAATTCATTAATTCAAGATACTGTTTCTAGTTTATCAGATTGCAGGTTTGAATCCCACGTCTGACATGAATGTTTGTATTTGTCAGATTGAATGAAGATTATTGTTAGGGGTATGCTTTTTAGCCACTAAAAAAATAATATAGCATGTAAAATTAATACCAGTAAGAAGAAAAAGAAAAGAATGATTCTTGATCCAAATAAATCATCCATGTTTTTAACCAAATAAAAATATTTTACCACTAAATAATTTTGCAAAAAATGTTTAACGATACAGTTCATCCAATAAACTGTTTAATTTTTTTGTATTTTCATTTATTACTATTTATGTTATAATAATGACAAGCAGTGAAAATAAAGTAAAATGGACAAGATCAGTTTAGACTTAATTTATCTTAGTTAAAAATCTTTCAAATTTTTGGTTGTTGCTTGGAGAGATTTATCATAGATGAAATTTGATAAAATTTTGTGAAAATTTCCAAATTTATGAAATTATCATGATGATATTTATGATAATTCTCTTTAATCAAATGTTATAATTAAAATTTTGAATTCATTCATTCGTGCTTATAATAAGAAATATGCATCAACAACATAATTAACATAGTAGTTCAAAAAGAATGTGCAAAATAGACATTTAAAGTAAAAAACTTGATGAAAATTTTTAAATCCTTAAACTAAATATATAAAATAAAAGTACAAAAAAATATTAAAACAGGAATAAACATGTATACTGTTTCAATAAAATTTATGAATATGTATATGTTATAGAAATATGTAGATAAAATAAGAAAAACTAAAAATATATTTCAGATTATTTAAAGTTAAAAGCTAAGAATAATATACAAGCACAAATGCATTATAAAAAATCAGATTATCAAAATAAAAAATGATCATTATGATCTCAAGAATTGAGTGTTAAAATCAATTAAAAACAAACAAGATTACGATAATTTAAATAGTATATTATCATTTAAAACAACAAATACAAATTGACAAATATGGTAAGAATTAATTTGGCTTTTAATTACCTGTAAAGAAATGAGCTTTTCCAGGAATAATTTGTGTGCGATTTCGAACTCTCACGCAGAGATGAATCATTGCTAACATAGCAATATTCATGATTATGCTTTGTACAAGTAGTGGAATTTCATAAGGATGACCAAACCTAAAAATAATTTACAAATTTAAAAAGTTAATTACGTATAATAAGTTTATATTTAATGCACACACATACACTCAACACTAATGACTTCAAGTTTTCAATATCTCTTGAAATTCGATCTAAATGTAAATGAAATGCATTTAATAATTTTAATTATTATTACTAATAACTATTTTGAAATAAATGTAGGATAGCGTCTCAAATTCAATAATTAATTTTCCTTAAAATTTCAGTTTCTTCTCAGAAAATTTTCTACTTTACATTTCTGTCATTATTATTTAAATACAAAACTTTTACATTTTTTCCATCAGGCATTAATAACTTTAATTTCAGAAATGTTGTATCTGCCTAGTCAAACAATCAGTATGTAATTTTTATTCAGGAGAATCATTATTTCACTCATGATCTTATAAATATGATATAGATACTAAATATATACTTAGTTATTAGGTACTATACTTAGTTATTTTTATACTTTTAATTTGTTTCTTGTAAAACTAATTGATTACTATATTCAATCTATACTAATATTATAAAGAGGTAATGTTTGTAAGTATGTATGTATGTATGTATGTATGTATGTATGTAAGTTTGTTTGCAGCAGGTAATCTCCAAAACTACTCATCAGATTTCAAAAATTCTTTCACCAATATTTAGAATGGAACCTCAGGGTGGACATAGGCTGTATATTATTCTGTTAAACATTCATATAAATTAAAAGATATAATCTAGGTTAAGGCTTTTATGTCCAACAGATGGCGCTATGAGTACGATGCCCTAAGTTTGCTTTTCTGCGAGGCATTATGCTTTTCTGTGAAAATGAACTAAAGTGGATCATCTTCTATCTATCTATATAAATAAAAATGTAATGTTCATTTGTTTCTACCGATTCCTTTGAAATTTTGACACAACGCTGCATTCGAATACGCACGTGTTTTTATATAATATACGTGTCAAAATTTCCCCCACTGAAGGGAGATGATTAGGATTAAAGCTTACGGTAAAGAACTCTGCTTCTATTTATACTATTTTAGATGCGGGTTTTTGCGTTTTTGATTGCGTTTTAATTAATTAATAGGATACGTCAAGAGAATGTACACTAAGAAGGGATTTTTCGAAAAATTCCCTCCAGGGGGAAGTGTTATACATTTATAATAGATATATTTTGGGCCACAACAATGCGTGGCAGGGTCTGCTAGTATTTTTATAATATCAATCATATCTGATCAAATATAAGTATAATTGAAATCAATAAAAATATAACTGAACATAGTATCAATTTCATGTAAAATAAATTAATTTTAGTCAATTTTTAAACTTTTTAACACATTAGTTTGAAATTAACATCAAAATGGCTTGTTTCATAGTTTTACAGACTTATAATATTAAAAATTTACTAACAGCAATTTGCTGACATTTATTTTAATGCAACACAATGCACCATTCCCATTCTTTTGTTTATATGATCACCTTTCTTATCTTAATTCTTTTTACCTGTTTGTCAAAGCTACCAACTTTTATACTATTTTACAAATACATAGTTTCCTAAGAACAAATTTTTAGATTAGTATTTTGAAACTATACGATTTTTGATGGCCTAGAACATTTAGACATGGCCAATAGCTTTGGTACAGATGTTTGGACATACTATTTTGCTATTGGTGAGGCTAGAGCACAACATTATGGTATGGTCATTTTGACTTTTATTGTATTCAGACTACTGGATTAAGTTGTTTTACATCTAGTAGGACTTTTTATTAATACTGTTAGTAGATATTCATCTTATGGGTGAAGTAGGATTTAGATTATTATTCAAAAGATAGATCTTTTGGTTGGTAAAAGAAAAATCAAAAATGGAGATACCAAATTGTTTATTGTTAGATATAATTGATAGACATTATCTATTGTTACATTAATAACAAACTAAATTAAGTGTCTATTGTTATGTAAATTGTGTAAGTGAAAATGGAAATTTTTTTAAATTTGTACATTAGTGGCTAGTTTAGTTGCATTCAGCCACCGTCAGAAATTTCTGTGATTACTAAAATGGATTTTACAAAAATCTATTTTATTCTCAAAGATAAGGTATAAAAATTAATTTTAATAAGAAAAAACACATACAGTGGAACCTCGGTATACGATCTTAATCCGTTCCTGATGTTTGGACTTATACCAAATAGGACATATACCAAACCAATCTTTCCCATTAAAAGTAATGTAAAAGTGATTAATCCATTCTCATGTAAAAAAAAAAAAAAAATGGCTGGCTTTAAACACCTTGCTTTCCTGGCTAGTTCCTGCTTGATTTTTCATGAGATCAGCATTTATCTTTTTAGCTTTCTCGCAAATAATTGCTTCTGATATGCTGTCACCAGCACACTGTTTTTCAGTTATACAAAGCAAAAGCAATTTCTCAACATGATCTAATGTCTTTGTTCTCTGTTTAGAAATTGATTTAACACCTTTAGCAGATTTAATAATGTCTTTATTTTTCACGATTGTCGGTATCATCGTTCTCAGAATACGGTATGCAACAGTTAAATCTCAAACATGCATGCCACCTTCATATTTCTCAACAATCTCTTTTTTCAGTTCCATTGTGATTCTAGTCATTTTTTTTATTTTTCTGTTGCCTTTTTGCAATTCATGATTAATAAAAATAACAACATTTTACTTACAAATTAAAAAAAAAGAAATTCAAACTGTGGCACCACGAACGTCTAGTCTGGTCTAATACACCGATAGTGCTACTTGTTCATAGATGGCGTGTATAATTGAATTAAGTCGTATACCAAACAAAAGTTGTATACCGAGCAAAATTTGTTTCGTCCAAACAGGACGTATTCCGAATTGGATGTATTCTAAAGCAGACATATACTGCGGTACCACTGTACTTTTGTAGTTGAGCTGTTTTGATTGCACAAGTATCTTGACTATAATTCCTTGTATAATATGAATTCAACTTTTCAGTTAGTTTTCTGTTCACATATTAAACACCTCAATAACTGGTATATATTATCTAAAACCACATCAGTACACCAAATCACTTAAACAAACACCAAAAATATTTAAAATATATAAAATCATTTCCAACTGTATCAATTGGACATCTATTTGATTGTCTATTAAAGAATACAACACCAAATAGAATACAGAACTCAAATTGAATTTTTAAAAGGCAGAGGTTTGGGCATGTGCCCTACACACAGAATGTATATTGTAAAGATAAAAAAGTAAATAAACATTACATAATTAATAAAATAAGAATATTTTCATTAATAAACTTGAGAGCATACATAAGGTGATATAACATAGTTTGCACCATGCTCTCCACACCATTGACAAATTGTCCAATTCCCTGAAGTTGATGACAGTCTGATTTTTCATGGTCCTATAAATTTCTGGAGATGCCAAGTATTTTAAACATGACAGATCTGATGTGCAGTGTAGCAGTATGGTATCAATGTAAGTGGCCAGAATATTGTCATCATTTGTGTGTGCATGTGGCCAGAGCAGTGTTATATAATTTTTTTAATAATATATTTATGTTCTTTGATGTGAGTGGTCAAGAACCTCTTGATCAGTCCAATGCATATAAACAAATGGTCTATTCACATCTTCATTAGTTGCCAGCTCTTTTCTCTGTCACTACAGTTGCACATTTATCTAGTCCAAAGTCCATTACAATGTCATTACAATATCATTACTAAAGATCCCGATAGTGTTCAAGAGAGACTCGATTTCAGTTGATGATTTTCAAGAGTTTCACATCATGCATTCAAAATAGATGGTATGGCTTTGTTGATGTTCACAAAATCTGGTAGCCTTGCCCAGTTTTCTTCAAAATTACTGACAATGGAATCATTGCCATAATGAACAGAAAAGGCAAAAGTGAATCACCATGAAATATTCCTCTCTGTATGTTTGTTGACTTGGCCTACTTCCTCACCATTTATTGTCAATTAGTCTATGTTTTTCAAATTTACATTGCATTCTTGACCAATTTCTTGATGTTACTAATTCCAGTTAGTTCCAAGTAGCAAACTACCTAATTTGTAGCAGTAAATCAAAGGCTTTCCTGTAATTTATTCAGGCTGTATGTAAATTTCTTCTTTGCTTGCAATTTTCAAGTATCATCATGTCTATCAGTTCCTTTGTACTTCTACTCTTTTACCATTATTATGTTGGGTTTAGTAAGTTATACTTGGTTCACACCGGTGGCTGTGTATTATGCCGGACCAGAGTCAAGGTATAGCAACCAAAAACAAAAATTAAATAAGTGTGTCAGTGTCTGTATTCAGGAATTTCCTAACAATATGACATGTTTATTATTATTATTACTATTATTATTGGCTTTGAATTTTATGAATATATGTATGGAATCACTTAACAACAGAGAACTGACAGCTGGATGGCCAAGCAGTCAAGGAGGCAGCCTACCGCTCTGGGGGACCCAGAATGGAATCCGGATAGGTCAAAAATACACAGGAATTTTTTGGGGTGGGTCTATCTGGATATGTCAGGCTCTGTCCCTCACCATAAGGCCACCTCACTGTGGGTCTGGCCAAACCCATAATAATGGGCTTGCTAAAAGAGGCCATCTTAGTGCCCACAGGGTGGAGATGGTTAAAAAAAAAAAAGAGAGGGAGAGAACTAATTTGCTAGCTAGATAAATAGCTGGAAATGCTTTTAATGTATTACAAAATAAAAACAATTACTTTTGCTTTTCCATCTCTGTTATATATAACAGAGGGAAAGTATTACATAGGTCAAAAATGACCCTCAAAGATTTTTATATTTTTGGACTCTGAACCTTGAAACATCAAGAAATACACAAAAATTTGAGGGTTTTTTTTCTGTATATATGTATGTTAATGTGTTTGGGGATGGGGAGGTACAATTTTGTTCACTCTGTGAGGCTTACTAACTTTTTTTTGGGTCAAAAATTTCTGAAATTTTGCAGGAGGCCTGTGTATTAGGAGAATTGATACTATCAAATTTTGGTTGTTAAAGGTCGAGGAGGTGAAGAGAGAGAGAGGAGGGTTGTGTGTCGTATTGAGTAGGATTGGACTTAATGACAAGTTACTTATTATTAGCATTTAAAATTTTTTTTTATAAAACTTTTCCCTACACTCAAATTTAAGCTTTTTGCTATTTTATAATAATTAAAAAATATAAAAGGTTTTTTAGTAAAAATATCATAACAGATAGTACCACAAGTAGTTTTAAATGTTGCCAGGAAAGTTAAACTCATTTCTGGATTTTTTGTAGTAGTAGTAGTAGTAATAATAATAGTAGTAGTAGTAGTTCTAAGTTTTTTTTACATTCAATTCTGATGTCATCATTAAGTTTTGATCTAACAAAGAGATATAATAGTCTTAAAAAATATTTTATCAAGTAAAAAACCAACCCTTAAAAATTATTAGTATTGTGATGGAGTGGTGATATAAATATGAAACTGCTTATCAACAAAAATACTCACACATATTAAGTGGGTCTATTTATGAGGTTTAAGTATATTAAAAATGTTTTTTATAAAAGTTATCTAAATATAATTTCAAATTTCATATATAACATCAATTACACTGTGTTTACTTGTAAATTTATTACAATCCAATATGAATGTATTAAAAATTATAATATAGATTTTAATGTAAAATGTCATAATTTTATATAACTTACCAAAATAGTATCCTGAGACTATTAGCTATTAATAATGAAAGACATACATATAAAGAAAAACCATCAGCAGATTCTGTATTCCTGATATCATAATATTGGGGAACATAAGGAATTATTCCTCCAAATATGATGCCTAATGAACAACTCCATGTCAGTAAAGTTGTTACAGACAAATCTTGAAGTATCTCTAGTGCTTCCATTTTCTTCTATCATTACATATATTTCACCTACAATAAAATTAAGTTATTTTAAATTAATGATAATATGCAGCAGACTTTCACTTATCCATACTTATTCATATAAAATATTTTGAAATTTTTACAGAAAATCAAAACTTAATCCAGTTTCAAAATAAATCTTCTATCATAACCTGGAATTTTTATAGATTATATATAAAAAATACACCTTTTCATATGTTTCCAGCATTTTACAGTTCTAATAAACATTTTCAGCTTGATTTACGGGCCTGTAAATCAAGCCAAAAGTGTTAATTAGAAGTATAAAGTGCTGGAAATATATGAAAAGGTGTGTTTTTTTATATATAAATTAATCCAATTTATGGTCCTGCAAATTAATCCAGAATGCTAAGTAATCATTATTTCATTATTTTCTACAGTGGTTCCCAATCTTGCAATCTTACAATGGTTCCCAATTTTATAATGGTTGCCTTGTAAAACCTGTATCTTCCCTACTTTATCAATGACGGCAGAGAAGATTGAGATATATAGAAGTAGGCTACGTGAGGGATGTTTAAATGCGACAGATGCTGACAGCCTGCCATCAGTGTGGAAGTACATGGTTAAAAATTTCACTAAAAACTTGGGCTAGAATTAGTTTATTGGAAGATTTATGATATTTTTTATTTTATTTTGTGTTAATTTATATGTTCTTCCATTTTTCTTGTATAATTTTAAAAGTTTTTTTATTCTAAATTTTGATTTAAATATTTGTATTCTATACATCTCTTCCATCTTCGTTTTTGACCTGNTTCATGACGTAAACTTAAAAAGTAAATTCTTCATAGAAGTCAGAAATTAATCTATTTTTTCTTTATATATATATCTTTATTATTCTCCCATCAGTGGCCGAATGGATAAAACCACTAAACACTAGTAATTAGTCGTGGATTTACGCTTGGCCAAGGGATTGGATGTGTGTTTTCCTGGTTTTCTTCGCATGTGTAATTCTAAATAGGGACCTGTTTACCATAGGGAATCCTTCTTTGGCCTGTATAATTAAAAAAATTTTTTTTGTTCTAAATTTTGATTTAAATATTTGTATTCTATACATGGAACATATCTGTTCCATTTTTGTTTTTTGACCTGATGATGGCCTGTTAATCAAGCTAAAAATGTTTGTTTTCAATTATATATTTTCTCAGCAACAAATTAAGGTGTTTTATTTTTATGTTGTACATAACTTCAACTGCATGAGGAAATGATGCACCAGGTTCTTCTGAGAAGAAGAAAGGTGTAATGGGACACATAAGCCTAAGTATAGGAAATACAGTAAGTGTTTAGAATAAGCTTTACTTGTGTTGAAATTAATAATGAAGAATGCCCTCAATGTGTAATCCATGGAATCTATGCTACCTAGTAAACTTAAATGGCACGTCAAAATTCTTCATCCAAATGTAGTGGGAAACTAAGAGAATTTCTTGCAAGAAAATTAATGGAAACTAATCAACAAAAGTCTAAGTTTTATAAGCATTCTACAATTAACAGTAATGCTATTCTGGCTTCTTATAAAGTGGCTTACCGAATCATCCGAAATGAGAAGTCTCACATAATTGCAGAGCAGTTAATTTTGCCTGCTGCTGTAGATATGGCCAAAATCATGCTTAGGGAGAATGCAGGTAATCAACTTCTCAAAATACTCCCTTTCTAATAATACAATTGGTAGAAGGATAGACAATATAGTAGTTACAGACATTAGTGACAAGCTTTTAAATGGTTTGAAGGACAGAGTTTGAACTCCACTTAAACAAGGCAACAGATACTCACAAAGATACCCTTTTAATTTGATAAATGAGGTTTCTTAATGAAAAACAGTCAACTGAAGGTTTGTTGTTCTGTAAAGAAATTGAAAGTGAAACAACAGGAGTAGATTTGTTCGAGATTGTAGGTTATTTTATGATGTATAACAAGATAAACTGGAAAAAATGTGTTGGTGTTTGCATGGATGAATGTCGATCAATGGCAGGAAGCTACTGAGGGCTTCAAGCTCACATTTGGGTCAAAGTTCCTAATGCAGTTTGGACCCATAGAGAGGCTTTGTAGCAGAAAAATTCAGTGCAGAATTGTATGATGTTTTGAAGTCAGTAATTGACATAATCAACTTCATTAAAACAAGACTAAACAAAGCACAATTCTTTGCTAAAATGTGTGATGATATGGGTGCTGAATACTCATGTCTTTTGTTTTACAGTACTGTTTGATGGTTGTCCCTGGGCAATTCATTGCTAAGGGTTTATTCATTGCTTAAGGGAATATATTGTTTCTGAGTTTTTGAACTCAGAAACAATATATATTCCTACCTGAAGAACAAAATTTCATTTTCTTGCTGATCACTTTATTAATGAAGAATTTTTTAATTAAACTGGCCTTTCTAACTGATATTTTTGAAAGGCTAAATATTCTAACAAGTCACTGCAAGCTAATATAACAAACATTTTTCAGCTTTCAAGCAAGGATGAAGGCTTTAAAAAGAAACTTATCCTGTGGATAAACAAAATTGTAAAAGGAGATTATACCATGTTTTCTTCTTTGAGTCGATTTCTACAAGAACACCAAATAGTGATAAAAAAGAGCTGACAACTATTATCATGAAGTACTGTGCTTGTCAACATTACATCTATATATGGAAAAATACATTGCTAAAGATGAAATCAAACCAGTGGAGTGGCTTAGTGACCCTTTTAAGATGACCTTTTATAAACTGAGACTCCCAGCATTTAAACAACAAGGAAGCAGAGCAGCTCATTGACATTTCTACTGATTCAACATTGAAAGCAAGATTCCAGTCTCAGACAGTGCTACAGTTTTAGTGTAGTATTAAAGATGAATATCCAGTGATCAGAAGAAAGCACTCTGTGCTTTGATTCTGTTCGCTACCTCTTATCTTTGTGAATGTGGTTTTTCTGCAGTAGCTGTAATAAAATTGAAGTATAGAGTGAAACTCAACATCAAAAATAAAGTGTGTTTCAATATTTAAAATAACAACAAGATCCCATAAACTAATTAAGGATAAACAGGCTCATCCTGCTCATTAGGACAGTGAAATAGAATACAAATATATTTGTATTTGTTTGTAATAATAAAAAAAATGTTCTTTGCATTTAAAAAATGAGATAGATTTTTATATAACAGATATTATGTATTATCTGAGTATGTGAAATGATTTATTTTTTATGCTCATTAAGAATTCTGAAAATGAAGATCAAAGAATATGCCACTTTTATAAATATAAATACACACATAAATATGCTGTAATTTTTTTTTGCTACATTAAATCTCTTATATCTCTAATGTTACTGAACTTCATTTCTCTACTTATAGTAGTAACCTACCCAAAAATAAATACAAGAATCAGAGTTTACCTGACTTATACTTTCATCTCTGACATGAGGGCCCATTGGTATATGATCAACAGGGAGTGGGAACCACAAGTTTCAAAAGTTTGGGAACCATTGATCTATTAAGCAAATAAAAAGTGCAAAAATAAATTTAAGCAAATATATAGATTGTAAGATTTAAATGATGAAAAAAAAAAGACAAATTGAAAAAAATTATTATTCAGCTGAAAAATAACTTTAAAAAATGAATAATTTATTAGAAATATCTTACTCAGCTCCTAAAAAAATAAATCATCCTACACCTGATGCTGAGAAAACGTTTATTAAAGAAACATTAATGTTTTCTACCTAATATGATAGGCCATCTTCAGATGCAAGTATTCTCGAATGTATTTAACTTAATATTTAAATGTCAGAACGTTCAAATACTTTTACGTTTAAATATAAAACCAAAATACTGAATAAAATAATAAATAAATAATAAAATAAAACAAATATACAAAACAAACTAATACAATAACGAAGTAAAAGTATTATCCAGTATGGCACAAGCAGAGGACTCTGTGGTTAAATGAAATGAAGCAACTATCCTCAGGACTATGTGTTCTCCATATCGGCAATGCACAAAGAAAAAATCAAAACATATAAAAGTAAATTAAAAGATGCTTGTATTAACACAAGAAATGTGGATGGACTAGCTTCTGCATGGAAGTTCTACATAAAATAAACACTAAAACGCAAAAATTTTTAGCCCACACCTGCCTTTATACTTAGTGGTATTTTTTGTATATTTATTTTATTTTTATTTTACATAGTTGTTTATTATTTTATTACATTATTTACATCATTATTGTATTAGTTCGTTTAGTATATTTGTTTTATTTTATTATTTATTTGTTATTTTATCCAGTATTTTGGTTTTATATTTAAACAAAATTATTTGAACGTTCTGATGTTTAAATATTAAGTTAAATATGTTCGAGAATACTTGCATCTGAAGATGGCCTATCATATTAGGTCAAAAACGTTAATGTTTCTTTAATAAACGTTTTCTCAGCATCAGGTGTTGAATGATTTATAACTTATTAGATATGAATTTAGGGATTCTAACAGTATTTTCATTGTTTCTGTATAGAATAAAAATGAATAGTTGGTTATTTTACTGTTATTCTATTGATAATTGTATACACAATTGCTAGGTCATTTTTTTAAAACAAAATTCTTTTGATATGTCACATTTTTACCAATTATTTGCATTCTTACACTTGTTTTATGTTGTAATTAAAATTAAATATAGAGAAGTATATTCCTTTTGAATGATTCTCCTTCACATTTTAATTAATGAGTATAAATTTTTAACACCTGAATATGATGAACATAAGTTTGTTGAAAGCACTAGCAAAAATAAACTCAGTGTGTTTTTACTTTCTTTTTATTAATTGCTATTTTTTCTAATAAAAAAAAACTGTTTTCCATCAATTATTTAATTTAAAAGATTATTTAAATCATTTATCAGATTATTTAAAAGTACATACTATATTTATACTGATTTTAAAGATGTACTTCTTTTCTTTTTTTTAAAGGAAAATGATAAAATAAGATAACTCTTAAAACCAATATAAATATGAATATATAAATGTATGTATTAAAATATATATACATATAGGCCTATTAGAAAACAAACCTTTTTAGAAAATATATATATTAGGTTAGTTTGAAATGTAAAATATAAGTTTAAAATAAATAAATTTATACTAGTTTTACCTAAAACTGTTCAACTACTAAATTCAGTTATATTCAGTGATTTAAAGTTTCTATATATATTTATGTAAATACAATCACAATCAAATTAATCTGATCTTGGTTATTCACTAGTTATCTCATTTTTTAAATATCCAACATTTAAACTTAAATAAAACTGAAAATAATTAAATTTAGACTTCATATATATAGAGCTTATATAAATACCATTATGAAAAAACATAAATATGACTATATAGAGATTTTTCACAATTACAGGTATCCCTTCATTAATAGTTAATTAATCCCTCGATCCTATTGCATATATCATAATCACATTAATCAAAATACAGTATCTATGTTAAGTAGAGACAGCTGATAAAGCAACAAAAATTAAGACTTCTGCTGCCCATATAAAGGGATTGTTGCAATCAGTTTCACAAAGAGATACCTGTACATTATTACTAAATATTAATCATGTAAAAATACCAATAATTCTAAAATGTGAATATTCATATTTTTAGATTTATTTGAATAATATCAAACAGACACAGGAAATGACAAAAACACTTTAGTTTTAAACTTAAGTAAAATGAAAAGAAAATAATTTGTTAAATATTTAATGCATTACTAATTCCAAAAATACTTTTCCAATAATTCCAAATTTAAATCATACATAAATTTAAGCTTATTTAGTATTAATATTGTTGTCATATATTATTATTAATAGCCATTGAAATTTATGCACAGCAATGTCTTGATTTAAGAATTGTTTCCAAAGAAACGGGTTCAAATTTTGTAAGCCAAAAATTAAATCATCGTACAACATAAGTGAATATGTATGGATTAATGAAAACTTATGACAGCCAGTAAAACATATTAACTATGAAATAAAAACTTAAAACAACATTCATATTATAATACATCGAAAGACACGAAGTGATATTACATTAACATTGCGTTCAATCTTGGCAGAAATAGCTCGACGTCAACAGAAATAGTAGCAGAGGTTACATAAGCGTGTCACTGTAGCTAATCAGCCGAAGAAACAACACTTAGATATTGTTAACTCACGATCCAGTGATGCGGATCCATCTTACATCACGAAAACAACAAAGTTCAGCTTTTTCCTTTAAAACTTCAAATTGTTTGTCAATGCAGTAATAATTGATGTTATTATAAAATGTTAAAAGAAAAAAAATGAAAGAAGCATAAAGGAAAAAGATGATTCTCATCATTTTTGCATTACTTTCGGTTTCAAAACAAATATTTGTTAGGGAAATGAAACAATAAATAGCATCCAATTTTACCATACTAAGCATGCAATTTTACTGTAAATTAGCCACGTTATGGTACAAAGAATCTGCTGTTATCAGCTGATCAATTTACTGTAAATACTTAAAAATAAAATATTAATATTGTAAATCTTTAATAGTTTATTTTTAAGTAGAGACTTATACATCTCTATTTCAATTCGTAATAAATTCTTTAGTTTAAAGAAAAAATTATTAATTACTAAACTGATAAAGACAAAAAGAACAAGTCTGAACAATAAATAATATTTAAAGCAATTTAAATATTTACTGAGCCGCATCAAATGGAACAATATTACTTTATTTGTTAATTTAGGAAAGATATGATGTAAATAATATTTAAGAAAGAAGTGAATTTTACCTTATATCAACCATTTTATTTCATATTTCGATTGAAATATAAATATTTTAACCGAAATAAGAATTGTTCCTGTCACATAACAGCTGTTAAAATTAGCGCCCTCTTCTGGCTCAAACAAAATTACACTTTCTTCTTTGACCTTGAATCTGCATTAACGCCTACCAGTGGCCGAGTGGTAGTCGATCGTGTTGTTCGCCTAGAGCAGTGGTTCCCAATTAGTTTTTCCTGCGTACCACTTCAAGAAAGAGCTCAAACTCGCGTACCCCTTATAGCAGAAATTCATATTAATCCATACTAATATTATAAATTCGAAGATAATGCTGTCTGTCTGTCACCTTTTCACGTCTAAACCGCTGAACAGGTTTTAATAAAATTTGGCACAGAGATAGCTTACATGTTGGAGATGGACATAGGCTACATTTTACTGCGAGAAAATATCTTACTCCCACGAGAAAATTCGATATAATGCGGGCGAAGCTGTGGGTAGACAGCTAGTGATAAATAGAATAAGTTTTTTTTACATTTATTCACTTTAAAATACAATTCTAATAATAATGAAAATAACATAAGGTTATTTAATTTTAATGTGACAAATGTGCACGATTTTCTTTGCACAACTTTATAAAATCTGGTTGCTTTTTGGTCAGCTTCAGTCTCGAGTCATCTTCGAGTCGAAGTCGGTGATGATGTTTGTCATGGCCGAAAATCCGCTCTCGCAGAGATATGTTGTGCAAAATGGTAGTAAATATTTTATTTCTACTTCGCTGACATAATAAATGTGTTTTAGGTCAGCCCAAAAGTTACTCAGTGATTGCTCTGCAAAACAACTCTTGAGTCTGCTGTTGCATAAAATATCTATTAATTTAATTCCTCTTGGTCAGAGATGGGAAGGTGATCGGTGGAGTTATTAGCAGCAGCGACAAAAATTTTCAAAATTAATTTCGCGAAAACAAATTGTGTTAATTGTACAATTTTTGTTTCTTGCGTAAGAATTTCATTTAGGTATTGTCGCAAATTCAATTTTTTTATGAAATTTCGAGAATATAAAAATTTTTAGTTATAAATAAACGAATTTGTGCATTCGACATCATGTTGTAAATTGCCGAATTTTTGATGGTCCACCCATTATTTTTTTATTGCTTCATCTCATGCATTTAAATTTTAAATCGACCGATTTTAGATTGCCGCGCGTACCCCTTCATTCAATTTCGCGTACTCCCAGGGGTACGCGTACCACTAATTGGAAACCATTGGACTAGAGTTTTCTGGATTTTCTGCAAGTTAGTAACACGTAAATAGGGGCCAGTTTTCCTTAAAAGAACCAATCTTCAAGAACCTGAATTCACATTGGACTTCTTATTTTGCTTTATTTTATAACTAATGCAAAGTTTTCATGACGTAAACTTAAAAAGTAAATTCTTCATAGAAGTCAGAAATTAATCTATTTTTTCTTTATATATATATCTTTATTATTCTCCCATCAGTGGCCGAATGGATAAAACCACTAAACACTAGTAATTAGTCGTGGATTTACGCTTGGCCAAGGGATTGGATGTGTGTTTTCCTGGTTTTCTTCGCATGTGTAATTCTAAATAGGGACCTGTTTACCATAGGGAATCCTTCTTTGGCCTCGCGTTACGTCCCATCAAACCAATCAATCTTTCCAATTTTTATTTAAAAAATTATTTTACAATATAATGAATAGAACAAAAAAATTATAAGAATAAAATAGTTAAATCATTTACTTTTGTATCTTCCAATATATTTCCGTGTTTTTATTTTGCACATCAATGAAAACGAAAAATAATACGAATTCAGAAAAACTTCATATCTATCTTAAAACTGATGATTCAAACTCAATCGTCGGTGAGTCAGAATGAGCGTTGAATTTCTTAATAACCAAACGTTTGATAGTCTTTATCTTTAAAAATCCTTGTGTCGTCTGAAAATCATTACTGTAATTGTGCATTTCCAATTTAATTGGAGAGAACAGTGTAAGTGTCGATTACTATTACTGTTTATAATACAAACGTATGATCCACTATAACTTCTATTGCCTGATTCCAATATTAGCATATCACAGAATTTGATACTCGAATGTACTATACATATGCCAGCACATCTCGCTGAATGGTCTTAATTCCAAATTCGCAGCGTTTGCAAATCGTTTATCGTTTATCTTAATTTATCTTTACGAAGAGATTTGATTATCAAATCCGCAATAATAAGTTTTATCGGAGAATATTTCATTTCAATAATTTTCTTCTCACGCAGGTCACGCAGTAAATGACACTTCATGTCGATGTGCTTTGTCCGTGTGCAAGACCTGGCGGATTTTACCATTTCAATGCAACCTTTGTTGTCTTCAAAATTGTAGTTGCTCTCGACATCGGTGTCCGTATGTCTGATAGGAATTGATGTAACCAAATGACTTTGACATGCTTACGAGACCGATATGTATTCAGCTTTGGTCCACGATATGGCAACTGTAGCCGGCTTCTTGCTCGACCATAATACCTCGTTGCAACCCAGAATGACGACGTATCCATTGATAGACTTTCTATCTTGTCTTTCGTTGTCTCAATCAGCATCCACGTAGCACTGTAGCTTTGATTCACACTTTGCCGAAAGACGGAGTTTCGCATCTCATGTGCCAGACAGATAGCGCATTATACATTTTACTACATTCCAGTCCCGTTCAGTAGATTCACTTACTCGACGACAAACAATTCCTACAGCTGTTGGTATATTTGGTCTTGATACTGTAGCAATATATAGGAGCGAACCAATAGTTTGTAAATTGTTTTTCGGTAATGCTTTACTTGAACTGTCAATGCTGTTTTGATAAGGTATCCTCATCGGGGTAGTAGCAGGTTTGTTTCGATCATTTTATACATATCGAGCATGTTTTCAATTTTGGATTGTTAGTGCAGAAGAAATGTGCCATCTTCTTCCCTCTCAATTTGGATTCCAAGATAACAGGATACTATGCCAGCATCCTTAGTTTCAAAATTCTTGTTTAGGCACTCGCATATGTTGTTAATGTTTTCAGCATGCTTGCTTGCAACTAGAATGTCATCGACATATAGAAAGATATTTGTTAACGAACCGTCCTTTTCTGTTCTTGAGTATAAACTCGAATCAGCTTTGCATGACACAGACCCTACGGCTTTTAACGCTCCATTACCTTTCTTATTCCATGCTCTTGCGAATTGCTTTTAACCGTAGATGCTATGATTCAGCTTGAGTATTAGATTTTCTTGTCCTTTTTTCTATGAAACCATACGGTTGTTTTATGTATATTACCTTCTCCAAAATACCGTCGAGGAAGGCTGATTTTATATCGAGATGTCTCACTATTAGTCCTTGGTACTCAGCAACAGCAAGTAGTATTCGAACGGTTTAGTGTTTGACGACAGAGGCAAAGGTTTCTCCAAACCGCTGTTAAAAGCTTCTAATCTCATCTCATCTCGAGAGAGGAGTGCTACAGCCTTCGCTTTTCACTCCGGAAGAACAGAGGAGAAGATCGCTCAGCGACCGAAGAGACGGCCTTATCGAAGACGACCAATCCGAGGAAGACAGGAGAGAGGTCACAAGGCGACCAAAGCCGGCCTTATAGGAGACGGCCAACGCGAGAAAGGGGACAGAGTGCCTTCCGGGAGGACTTGGAGGGGAAGCTGGCCCCTATTCAGGCGTCATTGGAAAGGAGGAAAACCCGGAAAAAACTTCCGCTGCCAGCTCGTCCGAGTGAAGCGCGAACCCCGATCGAACTCCGGTGTTTAGGGTCTGGTCACCGCCATTAAGAGTGGAGACAGAGTCCACTCAGCCACCAAAAGCTTCTAGCGGCAAGTCTTGCTTATGTGCTGATTTTTCTAGCCGCATTGCGTTTCTTCTTGAAAATCCATTTTGCTGTGACTGTCTTGCATCCGGATGGCAATTCGGTTAACTTCCAAACTTACTGCTTTTGCATATTTTTAATTTCTTCTTCTGCCTAGGTAATCTATTTCTTTCTTTTATAAAATGGTAGAGACATCATAGGTTTCCATGATATAGATTCGTCTGGATGTTCTATTTTTACTTTATATGATAGTCTTCTTGCAGGGATACCTTTGTTCTTTCTTTGAGATCGGCATGGCGCTTTCTCATTTGTAAAAGAGGCTGCTTCTACTGGCTCAGCTTGTTTGCCTACTGGACAGAGTATCCCAACGTCAATTTCATTTACATCCTTACTCAAAGCAGTTTCTTTGCTATTAATCCTCCTGTCATGACGGCCGGATGGCCGAGCGGTCAAGGTGACACTGCCTCGGGTCTCCCGTTCACATATTCCAGGCGTTTTCTACGCCTCTTCGACTGCCGCGAACCGCCACTGATAGCATTTACGACCCTAGCCGGCTGTGTAGCTCGAAACTGGGTACCACTAGACCCGATGCATACACAAATTTAATCATTTGCGAACCTTTGTCATTTCTACCGATCCTGCAATTTGCATGTGGCTACGTGCATTTCTTTGTGATGTTGCTATTTCACTTAGGAAATTGTTAAATTTAGAATTATTAAAATTGATTTTAAAGCAAATTATACTTGAAATGCAACTGGTATCTTTATAATAAAGGTAACTTTTTTATAAACCAGTAATAAGAAAATATTGATAAGTAAAAAATACACCTAACTGTATACTATACTGTTCAGTACATTTTACATATTTAATTTTCTATTAAAAATGTACAATCAAACCTTGGCTTTCGAACTTAATTCGTTCCTAAAAGTTGTTCGAAAACCGAAGCAAATTTTCATGTAAGAAACAATACAATATGCATTAATCCGTTTCCGATCCCCAAAAGTCTGAGTGTAGTCTTAACAACAACCAATACAGTATAACTTATATTTTCGAACTATGTTATATGGGTACTTTTTTTTTTGCTGTTTCCGCCCTGTGCACTGCGGTTAGGATTCAGATTAAGTGGGTCGAGTATATACAAAACGTATATAAAATTGGTGTAACTCGACTTCTAAATATAAATTAAGACTTTTCCGAATATAATTAAATTCAGAAAAGAAAACTTTTAAGTCTTTTTTTTTAATTGCAGAACTACGCTTCCGAATAAATGACAAAAAGTTATGTTTAATATGATCTAAAATTGCACGATTAATTTTTATTTTTTAAATAGAAAATTATTTTAAAGCGTT